GTCACCTGTCTGCGAACGGGGAGAATTGAAACTATATTAATAAAATAATATTAAAAATATATTAGAACTGGTATATTGGTCGGCAAACAGAGTTGTCGGCGAATTAGGATTCGGCAAAGCGGGTATGAATCGAAAAAGTAATATAATTAATTTAACTCACGGGTCAACTCAAATTTTAATATCTTTGATTAATATAGGTACTTCTTAAAACAAATTTTCACCTTTTTGGGTGATATAAAAATGAATAAATAATAATTAATAACTAATAATAGTATTTATTTTAAAATTAATATTTTTTCGCTCAGCTAAGTACATTTTTTGGTCTTGCTTTTTTTAGTGCATTTTAGTGTATTTTTTAGGTCATTAAAATCCTAGCTCTATAGTCATCACATATAATGATGATATAGTTTGACAGAGTAACAAAAAAAAAATTTCCCAGATGTTATTAAAACGATTTTTCGAATTAAAATATATAAATGTAGCTACCGTTGGTTGGAGAATAGGAATTATGATGAGAGGAAATCTAAAATAAAAGTAAGGGGGCATAGCCCTCTCCCCCCCCCCCAGTTACTTTTACACTACATAATATTGGTATACCAATTTTAGATTCTGAGAGGAGCGATGAATGTATTGATTTCACAACAATGGGTGTTTTAATATTTATTTTTTTTTATGTCTGTCATCAAGGTTTATTGCAATAAAGGTGCTTCGATTTTTATCAACAGCAACTTTTTTGTTAGGAAAGTGAATCTGGTTGGTGAATTCGGGGGGTCAAAATATAAGATTCCCAATAGTTTTCAAAAGTGATAGTAAAAACGAATAAAAAATTAAGTAAAAGCAGGAATTATTACGCAAATTTGGTTTTCGAAAAAATCTATTTTGGTTTTTTGTGTAACTCTAAAAAAATGAAATGTTGACTGGATGTTTGTGTTAACATTTTCTACACACCGTGAAATGTTCAAAATATTTTTATTGAAATTTAAACCATATGTTTATTTCATTAATTCATATACCTACTTGATAAAATTAACAAAATATATTGACTCATTTTGAAGTGTTCACAGACATTTTCAATACTCAACTTTTTTAGTTTTTTCTTTATAAATGTCAATAAAATGTTATTTGTTGGGATAGATTCTTGTAAAATTTACAATATCAGTTGAAAAATGTTCATAGGCATGATTTTTTTTTTATAAGCATTTAAAGTTAAAAAGTTGTCACATTCATCAAATTTAAAATTTAAAAATGATTTTTTAGTAAAAATTTATAAAATTTTCAATTTTTATAGCTAAGAATTGGAAATTTAAGACAAGGTTTCACGTATGTAGTCAATTCTGTAACCAAAAAATCATAGAGTAGGAACTTTTTGTAATAATTTAGATAAAGAAGACAGGTTAAAAAAAATGATGTAAAAGTTTTTCAAATAATAATATTTAAAAATTTTTAATTTCCGTGAGCTATATTACCAGAGTAAAAAGTATAAATGACGTTTTGTTTTTCTCTCATTATTTAATTATATCATATTTGTATCAGTATTTATAATTTGTACTTGTATAGTGTTTAATATTTTTAATATTTATATTAGCGAATTTTGTATTGGCATTTGGCATTTGGCAATTTTTTGTTTTTTGTCTTGGGGGATTTTGTCCTGTTCGAGGGGTAGACGTCTGCTGAGTGGGAGCAAAAAGGCATGGGGGGACGTCCTAGATTCAAAAAAATTAAATATCTATGCCTAGTGATCAAAATAATGTAATAGTAATGGCGATGTAGATATTTTTTGAAATTTGAGTAAGCCTCGTCTTTAAGTAACGGTCTCTGTAATGCAGTAATGGCAGTGTTACATTTGAGTTCGATAATAATTGCTATCATTGCATACCTAATATAATATTACAATTCATGACTGTGATATAAACAAAATCTGTGACTCGCAAAATTGTAAATCTATTAAAAAAGTGGAAAAAATTCGATACTTGGGTATTATATTCGATAAGAACTTGAGATGGAATTTACACATCAACAACTTATTAGTTAAACTACGTTTTATAACTTACAAGCTAGTAAAAATTAAATGTATGGTGCCGAAACAAACATTAAGAACAATTTACTATGCACTGTATCAGTCTAATTTCCAATATGGTATATTAGTATGGGGTGGCCTTAAAGATAACATACTAAATGCATTAACAATTAATCAAAATAATATAATCAGAATTTGTCTAAATAAATGTACTGTTACGGGATCTACAAAAGCAAATTACATGGAATTTGGTGTTTTACCGGTAAGGTACCTTTACAAAAAAATAGTAATAATGCATTTATTGAAACATGTTAGACGAGATAATCACTACAATAAATTAGATAAAAAAAGAGAATTTAGAAATTATGACTTTCCTGTTATATACACCAATAAATCTTTTGGACAGTCTTTTGTAGACTATCTGGGACCGACAATTTTTAATTCTATGCCGTATGAATTTAAAAAAAATGTGATAATGGGTGATACTATTAATATTAAATATGTGGTATACAAGTTTTTATTTTTGGAATTAGAGAAGAACGCGTTATGTATGTAAAGTATTTTCATTTTTCTTTGTTTATAAAACTTTGAAATGTTATAACTTTATTAAATTTATTTACTATGTATTATGCTTTTATAATTGTTGAGTGTTTATGTATGTATTTTTCTTTTCTTTTGTAGATCATATTATATATTCTCATTATTCTCATTATATTACTTTATTTCATAGTCTATTATATTAACATATCATATTAGTATACGTTTTGTTATATTATATTATATATTATTAAATTTTATAACTACAATAACTCCCTCTCTTCATCACAAGCCTAGCTTAAAGGAGAGAGGTTAATCGAATTTGTTATATGTTTTTGTAATTTTGTTTGAATGATAAATAAAAAAAAAAAAAAAAAAAAAAAAAAAAAAAAAAATACCTACGAAAAATAATTCCAAACGGAGATAGCATCTCTTTCTAAAGCTAACTTCCCACGACGCGTGGCTCGTGTTGACTTAGTATCATAGACGCTAAACATCAAATGACCATATAGATTTGTTTAAATAGAGAACTCTGTCCAAATTTCTATTAAAAATACGCTTGTATGTTTTCTTTAATTCAAAATTGCTGAAAAAGCCATCCTTATTTGACCTTCTATAAAACTAATTGACAGTTAAAAAAATCACTACACTTTTAATTTTTATAATCTGAGGTTTGAAAATGTAGAATGTTTCTTATAAATGTACTGCTCATCTCACATGCATTTTAAAAAAAAATTCAGTGAAAAGCTACATCAAATTTTTATGAGTGTAAAACTTTATAACCTAACGAAATTCGTTAAAAATCACTTATCAAATTATCTTCCCTACATCATATTACAGTGCGCCACAGACCGAATCTGCTATAAAATCGTTTTTCCTTGTATATTTTATCATTGAACTAAAATTTGACAAATCTATAATCATACACTGTAATAGTACTTACTATCTTACTTCAAATTTACTTACACTCGATATTTACTAAACAACAGAGCAAAAAGTCTGGATTTTTAAATATAAATATTGATAAGAATTGTGGTTTTTACTGGTAGGTATATAGCATATAGATTAATTTTTATGAAACGTCTGTAGCTCAAATTAAATTTTTATGTACCTAATTGAACATTTACACAAAAGTAAAGTTTTATTTTTGATCTTTTTTCTTAATTCTAAAAATATTAACCGTAGAAACTTGAACTATTTCATTAATACACTAATTACTTCATAATGTTAAATAAGGCGAAATGTTGAAACAATTCGTCAAAATCATGAAAATTTGCAAATAATTTTCTAGTTAAAAATCAATAACATTTTCAGTAATTTCCAAGAACCTATATTTTACAACAAAACTCCAAATGAACTAAAAGACAAATTTTTTTTTTTCAAGTTCAACATTTAACAAAATTAGATATTTAAACTAAAAATAACAGAAGAATTTTCTCAGAGATTCATTTTCAACAGGAGTATTAATGATAATAAAAGTTCAAAATAGATTCTACTTTCATTGAAGCCGCCTAATGCATAATGTATCCGTAAAGTTTGAATATAGTATGAAGTTATTGTTAGGAAAAAATATGTAATAAATTATACATAAGCAGTGGCAGATCCAAGTGGGGGGACAAGTTAAATACCCCCTCCCGCCATAGGCTTATAATATTCCAATTTATTACATTGTTACTTGTGAGAAATACTAGTTTTATTCAGCGTTACATATCTTTATAACGATAATAACGTACCCACTACCCAAAAAAATGGTGATATTAAAAAGTATATTATTAAGTATGGATAGTATCTGTTGGATACATTTTAATTATCCCCCCCCCTTGATACATTTCTGGATCCACCCCTGTATATAAGTGCTACAGAAGGTACATATTATAACATACTGTACACCTAAATATTATCATAATTTAGTATTATTCGTTATATCAAGAAATAAAGTCGGAACAATTTGTTGAAGTGCTACCATTTTTTAAATTTCTATAAGCAACTAATTTTAGAGAAGATTTAATAATTATTGGAATATACCTAATATTTAAGTGAAAATCTTTGGCTGTTCTGAAAAAACAAATTTCACATATTATTATGTATGAGTTCAAGAAATAATATTTTAGGCACAAAAAACAAGCAATTTAAATGCAACACTAAAAATAGCAAACAAAAAAATGTTTATTATTAATAATCATTAATATAAGAATGGTACCTAACTATAGAAATGTTTATAGCAATAATAAATTTGGTTGACAAAAAACAGTTGATGATTATAGAATTTAAAAAAAACAATTGGTAACTCAATTCAAAATAAAAATAAAGTGTTCTTTCATAATCTTAAGACACTTTTGAAAAAGATAACAAAAAATTGTTAACATTTCTTCATAATAAAAAATATCATAACCCATAAAAATCATAGTTAAATAGAACATTAAAAAAGAGTTAAATTACATTCAAAGAAAAATATATAATATTAAAGGAAGTATAGCAACTCATCGAGTCCGACATTGGGCGAACGCCCTAGACTCGTCCCAGTAAGAAATGCCAACTTATGGGCCAGCTGACATGGTGCAGGAACCCGAACTGTACCCTAGAAGAGATTTAAACAAAATTATTGGGCAAAGGTGATAAAAAAAATAGTTCACAAAAAGATTTACTAACCGATCAATTGTAGTACATATGAGTCAACTTGAATGTAAGTCTCTGCATTATATCAGGAGGAAGTCTAAGGGTATCTTCAATCACTTGATAATGGGTAGGAGTTACCGTTCCCTGTCTAACATGTTGTGAAACCAAAAAAAAATCATACCTGCAATACACAATATTTAAGCATTACATTGTTTTTTTTTAATGTTTTTCAACTACTGCTGCTTTACTGTATGACAAACAAAATGAATATAAAAAATAATTATAAAATACCAATACAATGGAAGTAAGTTACTTTGATCCTATTTTAATAAAATGTGCATATTAAGGTTAAAAATGTATCTAAGCTTACTTGGTTGGGTCTGTAACAACACTATCAATTACAGTTCCGGGTCGAGGATTTTCAGGGCCTCTATTACCAAGAGCAAAAAATCTTGCACTAATCCGTTTTGTGACTATAACAAACGCTAATGGGACAGAACTTGCACCATAAAATTGTTCACAAGCAGTCTATCAAAAAAAAAAATTAACTACCATACACAATTTCAAATAATCTAAACAACTTACCTGCAAAAGTCTAACTTCTGTTTTATGAACATGAGAAATCTGACCTTCTCCAACTCCATCTCTATATACAATTATGGAAGTAGGTAATGCACCATTTTTATTTCTATACTTGGCCAACGCTTCTGAAAAATAATAAAATCAATTTTTTATAACTATTGTGCTAATTTTTCTTTGAGTATATTTCTAAACATATTTATGAATTTTAATTATATACCCAATTCCAAAATAATAAAGAGGACAAAACAGAGTTATTTAATATATGAAATAGTAATAAAATATAGAATGCATTAACCCGGGTGACACTGTTTATGAGAGCACTAATTTCATAGCCGAGTTAAACTAGAAATTTGATATTATTTTAAAATTCCTAATTAACTAGAAATAAAATTTAAAAATTAGATAAATGATAGAAGTAAACAAGTTTATTTATTGATTGAGGCAGTGTCTGGTAAATTGTTACAGTTGTGACAAAAATTTTAAATTTATACAATCTTTTAGTTGTTAGGATAATAGAAAAATGTGTTTAAAAAAAATAAGAATATTGCTATTAAAATCTAGTAATATACTTATAAGTTAACTAATAAAAACCACAATTGAAGAATTCACAAATACTTACTGCTTATGCCTGTAGCAAAATGAACAGAAAGTTCCTCTCCGCTTTCATGAGGTTCCACACAACTGAAGTAACTTGTGTGAGCATCATTCATAGTTGAGACTAAAGCTCCAAATGATATATTTTTCCGCTGAGTATCATGACATACATCAAAACCTACTATCATCATGCCCTGAAAATATTATGAAGTAAAAGTAATTAAAAATTAATTTGTTTACTCAAAAGTATTTAAGTTACTTTTTTAGGAATGGTAACTAGCCAAGGAGCACCACCAAGTTTACAATTTATTTGTATGGCAATTTTTGTACAAATAGATAAATTATTCTTCTGCACATTTTTCAACAGTACTACTTGGGACGGTACTGAAAATAAATATACATAATTTTATAAAATCAATGTTACTATTTATGTATTAGAAATTTACCTGCTCTATCAATACATAATTTTCTTTTAATCATACTATAAATATCACCACGTGCCGATGGAATGACACATAAAATCAATGCTGGATTTGATTCATTAATTACTTTTTCCAAAGAGTTCAAAAATGTATTTGATTTCCCATCAGCCATGGGGAATCTAAAAATTATACTCATGAGATTTCAAAAAATAAATGTAGTAAAAAAATATTTACATGACAGGCCTAGGTAGTAAAAATGTCATTCCTTGTGCTGCTTTAGCGAGATTTTGTGCAAATGCTTCTACTTCTCGACAACAGTCTTTAGGAGCTAGAATAGTCCAATATTTCACCGTGGCAGAAGTAAACATTGGCAAAGAGCGTAAATGCTTTGTCCAATCAGCTTCTTCGCCTCCATTATAGCCTTTAGAACGACTTTGAATTGACTCTGGCTTTAATGTACGACCAGTGAGTTCAACCAGCTTATTACTTAATGTCAGATTCCATCTTTTCAATTCAGTAACAGACTAAAGTAAAAATGATTTCACCATTTAAAAAAAAAAAAACGGATAAGTGAATATAGCTCCGCTGTATAGTGGGTTATAAGGGTGTCACTGTAATGGATGTTTTTAAATTTGAATTGAATAATATAAAATCATTGTATATAATAAACAATTCTGAGCAAAGACAGTCTGTCAGTCTGTAATAATACTTAGTAATTAAAAATATTTAATGATATTATTGTGACTAAAGTAATTTATTTTACTAGTAAGCATTAGTACTACGTAGTAGATTAAATTAATTTTTGCCAAAAAAAACATATGAAAAGTCAATATGTGTATAAAATATATGAATATACTTTAAAGGTTTCAAAAACCCACAAATATTATTTTTACTTTTCAACAATATAACATAAATCGTTATTTTTGGTTATTAAATATGTAATCAGGTCCGCATTAGAACATAAAAAAACTAAAAAAATATATTATATATTATAAGATTTTTTTGGTTACAGAATAACCTACTCATATGAAACTTTGTTTTAAATTTTCACTCCTTAGCTATAAAAGTTGAAAATTTTAAAAATTTTAACCTATACAATTATTTGCACATTTTGAATGATGTGAATTTTGTAAAAATCTGAAAGCATTTAAGCTTATGAAAAAAAATCATGCCTGTGTTTATTTTTCAACTAATATTGTTAATATATATCAGGGACCTTGAATTAAATTGTTAAGCTTTTGGACCCAACAATAATATCCAATGATGTTTCATGTTGAACATTTCAAAAGAATCATTTTTACGAATTTCTAACTCAAAATACTTGGCACATTTTATGTGATTTGTACGCAAAATTCTAAACCTCATAAAACATTAATGTAAATTCAGCTCAACTTTTTTTTAAATTTCCACTAACAACAACTTACGAGAAACTTTGTATAACATTTTCAAGTTTTTGGATAGGTTCCTATTTTTCCTTAATTTGATGTTTGTCTGTCCTGTCATTTTTGAAAACAATTGGGAATTTTATTTTGACCCGAAAAAGTACAAACTAGAATACTAGAATCACATTTCTACCAGAAAAGATGTTATTGAAGAAAATCGAAGCACTTTTACTGCCTCAAAAGGTGATTACAGCACAAAAGAAAACTTAAAAACCCACATCACTGTAAAAATAATAAATTCATTGATCCGTTCAGAATCTAAAACTAACCATATAAATGATTTATGTACTATCTCTAGTGGCTTGTTAAATTACATAAAACGAAAAAAATTTACTTCAGGAGTTGAAAGAAGTCGATTTGCAAAATTTGTTAATCTATCCATGCGTTCTTTAGGATTCACACGGGTATGTATAGCCATATCTTTCATAAGTGTGAAATTATTTCTATAATTTAAGACAAAATAATGCACATCGATTAAAAAAAGTTTTAAATTAAAATATTAATTTATATACCTCATGGCATCCGTTATACCAGTCATAATGCATAGCTCTGGAACAAGGTAAACCAACGTATCTTCAACTCCAAATCGTCTTATAGATTTTTTATTTTTCGAAATCAACATAGGTTGTTTGCCACCTCGAATAGTTATGTTCCATTTCTAATACAGTAATAAATATGTTAATTTAGGTCTCCAATTCTAAACATTTATCATTATAGTTATGTACTTCTTTGTAATATTGTATGTAAGTCATTTTGGACCCATCTTTTTTACTAAATTCAGAATTAGGGTCAGAATTTTCATCTATGTCATCAATTCTGTACGTTTCATTATTGTATTTTGTCATAACTGTGGTACCAACGACACTACTTTTGAAGTTAATCTAAATAATATCATGTATCAATTATTTTGTTATTTATTATTTGTAAATTATAATGAAATCATACAAAACTTTAATAAACTTACCATCCAATCTATGTTACGGTTCCTATCACCAGCACACTGATTTAAAAAGTCCAATACAGTCTCTTGACGCATGACTTTTGTAGATATTTCAGCGCACAGTAAAATGTTATCTTCATACCTGCCAATTGTTGTTTCATAACCTGGCCAAAGTTGTAGCTTATGTTGAGCCATATCAATCTAAAAGAAATTATAAAGAGTCAGAAAAATAACAAATAAAATACTTATAGGATTGCAACATTTACTTTAGCATCAGGATCATAAAAGTTTCTTCCAATCAACGTCAGTTTAAGATGTCGAAGACAATTACGCAAGAGTAAGTTGAAAACTTGAATGTTAGCATAATCACCGGTTTCTATAATATTTGTGAACTTCACTGTTATGATTACAATTTGATCATCCTGTCGACGTGTAGATGTAAGTTCAAAAGTCTAAACCAAAATATATAAATTGATTATATTCAACATTCTTAATGGATTGATAATCACTTAATATTAATTAATGACACTATATTGATCATAGTTATCTAATCTAGCTGTAAACATACTTTAATGTAATGTATTAATTTAATTGTATCGTTATTGATATTTTATAACCAAGAACAATGCCCAAAAATCCTAATTAACTAAAAATATTATATTAATCATTAACAGCTTTATGCTATAACTTACAGGTGGGTCAAATCGGCTTCCAGAAAATAACATTGTTCCGTCAAATAAATATCCTCCCAAACGTTCTCGGTGCTGAGCTAATAGTCCTCTTTTAGTACTAATTCTATCTTCTTCGGGATTGAAATCAACTCGATATTGGTACAAACACCAATTTGTATATGAAGTGATAGGAAAGTAATTTGCCAACAGTTTTACTGGCTGTCCAGAAGTTCCTGTAGTACATAATACAGAATCACAATGTAAATATTGTTAATTTTGTTTTAAATTTTTTTTAACATTTATTTAAAATATGGTCTTTACAATCATCAATTTTACCAATATTATAGTACTTTTTATAGCAATGAAAGTAATTTTATTGAAAAATTTCATTAAGGAAATTTGCAAATTATAAGTATAAACTATAAATTGTATAATTGGTGTTAAGTACATATATATCTATCCTAAGACTGAGATTTCAATGTATTTGCATCTTGTTTATGCTTGACACGATGCATTTCAAGCTATATATGTGTATCAGTTGTGATAGGGTATTTTTTTTTTTAGATTTATTACCATGCATGTCTTTTTAAACATTTTTAGTGCATTTTTAGATGGTTACTAGAAATTATTGAAAACATATAAGATCTTCCCACTATTGAAAAATAAACATACTCACACAATAAAAAAATATAAAGAAATAAGTCAACTATTAGAAAGAAGATAGAGATCATTTGAGGTCTATAAAACTTATTGTGAGTCAAACATGTTTCATTTTAATTTCTAAGTAGGTATTAGATTTATTATATCATTGAACAGTGTAGACATTTAAATGTTGATTTTACAGTAAACATTTTAAAATGTTTGTTTTCATAATTATAAAATTTTGACAAATATTCACTTGAAAAAACGTATATGGTATATACTCTTTTTGCACATTTTTAATATTTATTTATACCAACATCATATAGTAAATTAAAAAATTTAAAGTGAGTAACCTTTTAAATATTTTGTTTCGGAATTGTAATCCTAGTCCTAATCATTACATATAGGTAATTAAAATATTCAAAATTAATTATTTCTCTGTCCTTGGCGGGACATTTTTTCAGTATAGTACGTTTTAACTGATCCTAGAGCCAGTAAGTATTTCTAATTAAGTTTTTTACAAATTAAAATAAATATATTATGTAATGTATAAATATTACATAAGTATTACAAAGACTGACCATAAATTAGGGTTACACGTGCATCATCCGATTACCATATTTTTACTCAATTGAATACGTTTTTGGGCGGATGGTACATTTTTGTATAAATGACGTATAATATTATATTTTCTTGATATTACAAAAAATGAAATAAAAATTGTATTTAATTGTTAAACCTTACCTTGTTTTCCAACATCTCCTAATGAAGATTCAGGTCTTATTGTATTAAGATGTTCAAGTTCAATTTGTCTTCGGCCTCGTATTGCTCCGCGCCCTAACTGTAATGGTGCATCTCCTTAAATAATATATAAGTCACTAGATGATTATGTCATTTAGATTTTATTAATTTTACCTTTCCACTGCTAAGACTTTTTTCCTAAAATACCCATTTCCTGCTGAATTACTTTTATTTTTTTTTTGCATATTTTTAAATGATATGATTTTATTTCATTAAATCATTTCATGATGAAGTTAATAAAAAAAAGTATTGGCTTGAATTTTAAAATTTATACTACTAGGGTACCCCCAAATAGGCAAAAGTGGTGTAATTTCGGTAATCAAAAGAAATAATGATATAAAATGTGTATGCCCCGCGCCCTGACAGTATACTAGTTCATTCATTTTCTATGGAAGATTTTATAAATGTGAAATAATATACTTAACTATACGACAAAATAAATTTTTTTAAAGTTTATTTATAAAATTAGGTAAATGAAAACAATTCGTTAAATAATAGCTACAACAAAGTGCCTATTGTATATTTGTACCCAGGGGTGGATAGGCCCATAAGAAAAAAAGGTATTTTCCCTGTGGGCCCACTGCTATGTTTATTTCGGGGGCCCCCCGGGGCCCACTCAGGTCTAAACATTTTTTTTTGCAGAATAAAATAATATTCACCAAATAGAAATAATTTAAATTTAAAACTATAAATTATTATTACTGTTATTTTTAACAATATAATAATACCACTCTCCACGCCAAGTCAACAATTTGCTTACGGATCTTTAATATAATCTTGAATATTTATATAGATATTAATAATAGTATTTTAAATTGTAATTGTTATTCGAAGACCGAAATATCCGACCGACCGCCGAACGCGAACACCGCACGTTCTAGTATCGTCTGATACGAAACACATATTTTGTCGGGAATGATTGGGTATTTAATATCTATTATGATACAGTGCACATGCATTGATTCACATGCATAAGATGATTATTATTGTATTTTTGCTATCCATTAATCATTATCCGATAATCGTATACATTTGCAAATATTAAGTCGAGTTTTCATTTGCTCGTTGACTGTGCGTCTGTGCGTCTTGTGTGAATGGTGTTAATTATTTTTTTTTTCTAATAGGTTAATAGGTGTACCTACTTATTTGTGATCTAAAAATCTAAAATATTCATATTTATGGTGCGTCTACGATTTCAGATTTGCTTGTCTTATATAAATTGTATACTTTGTGGCAAACTTTTTAAGTGCACATATAAACTAAAAACCATAAACTTGTTATTTATAATGAATAAAAAAGGCAAATATCAATCCGGTTCGGAAGAACACCAAGAAAAAAAGAGAATTATTATTGCAATGTGCAAATAGTAAAAACCAAATGAAATTAATTTGTTAGGCGAGTTCGATTTTTAAACGATTAGGTTTTAAACACCTATATTAATGTTCTGAGTTTTAATTAAATAATAATGTATGTAGTTCTCAAATAGTGAGCTGGACCTCCAATTTTGGGTGTACAATTATTATCAGGGCTTGTGAGTTCATGCACTAAAAAATACATAAATTAGCATGAACTAAACATTGGCAAAATATGCATTAAAAATTCAGAAATATGCAGTTATGTGTACTAACATTTGTAAATTATGTACTTAAAATATGCATAGTTTAAAAAATCATACGCAAATTTTAAAATAAAAAAATATACTTAAGTAAATTTTTAAAAATTGTTATAAATTGTCAACACTCAAAAACCTAATTTTACAGATTAACACTTTGTTGTCATTATTACGTTATTATTATGTTATTATTATTATTAAATCTGTGGTATATTATATAACTTGTGGTCGTATGAGAATAAAAAAAATCAAAAAAAATATTACAATTTTGTAAATTGGAAAGTAAAAAATAAATTAAAAAAATTTAATATTTATTTGGTTAGACATATTTTTTTATGAAAATAACTCTAAAAAATCTACTAAATGCCAAATATACCTTTACACCCAAAATATGCAAAAACATGCACTTTTAAACTTTATACATTTATTACATTTTATTACTATTGATGAAGTGGCTTATAAAAACAAATTGTTAACAAAATTATTATTGAATTAAAATTAATAAATATTATAGTGAAATGTAAATGATTAGTCAAAGTTGTTTTATATAATTTGAATAGTTTTTAGAAGAACATTATATATTTAGTAATTTGAGTTATATAAAATATGCAGGTAATTCGATCGAAGCGACCAAAATTCTTTTTCAGTTTGGGTCCCCTTAAAATATTTCCCCACAGCAAAAATACTATCTATCCACCCCTGTTGTACCTATTTATGTTACATCACAATCAATAATATTAACTTGAATTTATGAGACATGGGTTGGTTACATTTAGATTTTAAAAATTTAATCTTTTCACAGCTAAGTTTTTTCACTTAAATTACCCTTCTCTGTTGAATTAATTTTAATTTTTATTGTTTTTCATGTTCCTAGGAAATTATGTCATTTTGATAATCATTTAAAATAATAATTATTTAAAAATTGTATGTATCATTCCTACAGAAATGAATACAGAAACTATTTTTTTTTTTACTGTCAAATTCGTTATTTTTGTCAGTATTTTGTTGGTGTAATTTTATTGAATGGTCATGAACTCGTGAGTACGTCCATGTAGCAGTGAAAGTGTTAAGACAGACTATAATATTAAAGATAGGTAGGTTGTAGGTATATTACCTGCATCGAAACGTCTATGACTTTCTGTAATTTGTTGTACCTTGAAAACAAATTGCATATAAATGTAAGTAGGTACTTAAATAACATGAAACTTCAAAGATATTCTTACTCCTGCCATCGGGTCTATTTTAAGTGGTATATTATCAACAGGTATCACAGGCATCACAGGCATCCCAGGTCTTGGTCCTGGTGGCCTAGGAGCTCTTTGCTGGAGTGTGCCAGTAGGTCGAATAAGTGACATTGGACGAATTGGACGTAGCACACCCATACCCGTTACTGGTGCTTGTAGAGGTTTTAAAGAATTCATTAGCTGTGATGCGGTTGGCCTTATTCCTTGAGAATGTAAATGAGATGAACTTGATACACCGGGATGATTGGTTGGTACTTGAGGACGTCCACGGGCATACCCCCTTGGAGGTCTTAAAGGTTCCATTTGGAATAATTCTACTAAAATAAAGTTTTAATTTCTATATTATGCCATAATAAGTTAAAAAACAGAACATACAACTATAAAATATTTGTGGAAAAAATAAAATACTATCATACCATAATAATATACACTCATAGGAACCGCCTTTTTTCAACCAAAACAATGTAACGCGGGCTATAGTGGCTACGATTAGAAAATCCGAAATTCATTTAAAGAATTTGGAAAAAAACCTTGGCGTTTACATTTATTATTTAAAAAATAAGTATTATAATACATAATATAAATAATATTTATATACAATTATGTAAAATAAGTATAATAATAAATAATAGGAATAATGTAGATAATTATGCAAAATAAAACAGTTTCAAAACCATTCAATTTTTTTAATTTTTTTTTTTGAAAGCCAGGGGAGTGCAAGTGCATATATATACATTACGTATATGACATATTTTTTATTACATATCAATTCGACATCTACTTATTATACTTTTTAACTTTACCCAGGCCTGACTGAGGGGGAGACTAGAGGCGTAACCACCTCGCAAGCCCGTATTTCTAAAAAAATGTATTTTCTTATAAACAAAATTACAAAAATAAACATATAATATCGACAATTTTCTGAAAATTATGAATTTCCCCCCCCCCCCCTAGCAATAATTATAAAAGTAAATATAACAAGTATAATATTATAGTAAAATTAAATCATAATCAATAATTAGCACATATTGTTATAAGTCGTGTATATTGTATAACATATGAAATTGTTAAAAATTGTTAAAATAGTAATAATTATGATAATAAACACGAGCCAAAATATCACTTCCATACTATTTATTTTTTGTTCGTGTTCGAACATTTTGTGACTCCCAATACTATAAGTTATAACACGCGCAACGTTGCGAAAAGTATTTCATATTTAGTGAACGTGAATATATTTTAATGAATTTAAATAATTTTGAAGACGATCAATTTATTTACCATTTAATAAATATAATTATTATATTGTTTAAAATATATTATAAACTTGATAAAATATTTTTTTGTCATAATACTTATGATAAATAAATAAAAAATTATATGAACGACCCAGTGAACGCATTCATTTTTTCAATGAACATGAAAGGGTTTATTTGAAAAAAAATAAAAATGTGAACGTAAACGAGTTCATTTTATATTGAACGTTCCTTACATTGGTTTAATACTGGGTTGCTTGAAAAATTAATTAATTAAACGTATCAATAATATTAGATGGACCAATTATGGGCCACTAAATAATGTTTAAGCGATCACTAGCTCACGAGCGCTACTGATTCAATAAATGTTAAGTGATTGCAGCTCGGTATTAATGTAATAAATAATTAACAACTATTATGTGGATAAAACAATACCTGAGTGTACTTGCGTCTTATTTTTCTCACAAATTTAATGCTTTTCTCGCAAATGCACTATGCAAAATGACTACTTAATGAAAAAACATTATTTCGTCATGTAGCTAGGTAATCGTTGAACTAAATTGTGAAGGATGGCCGACAACCATAGATCATACAAAAATATTATAAAAACTTAGCACTTTCAACATCGAGATCGAATTTACGTTTTTTTCTTTCTATGGTCTTTGTATTCAGGATTTCTGGGTTATACGAAATTTCATACTTTTGTACTTCCGGAAATTAGTTCTTAAATTATGTCAGTTGACGACGTATTATTTAATATTTAATACTGTTAAATTAACGAAAAGGTTCAGATTCGTTTGCTGTGAAAAATTTTAAACAATTGTTATAGTATTTAGATAAAAGGAAATAATTGTAGTGATAAATAAATAGGATTGGGTATGTGGTTAGTACTTTTGAGCGGTTAAAATAAAAAAAATTCCAAGCAATTTTCCAAAGCGTCAGGGAAAAAAATGAAGGAAACCCAAGAATTTGTACGTAAAACTAGTTTTTGACAAAATTGATTTTGTTTTTATTTTGGTTTAATAACGATTAACCATAGATTCTTGAAATTGTCACAAAATTGTTAAATTAATATTGTGTAAATAGATTGAGATTTTCAAAATATGTTCACTCTTCTTGAGCAAGGTATTTAATATATTTGATTTTTTAAATTATTTTTTTCTATTTATGTAGGAAAAAAAATTATTTGTCTGGTCAAAAATCTTGAAAATTGAATAAAAAATTGCTCTTAAGTTGTTCTCACATAATAAAAATAATACATATATTTTAATAATATTAAAGAATAAAGATATACTATGGCTCAATTTTTTTAATAGACGATTTTTATTAAAAATTTAGACAGAATTAAATATTTTAACAGAGAATAGATAGGTTTTAATAATTGTATTAAAATTAAAAAAAATATTTGAGCAAACTTGAAAATTGTTATATATTATTATATTTTATACACACAATGACATTTTCAAAACAGTTAAACTAATCTTAAGCTAATTATATATAATTCAACCTACATTCACCGACTATTACTAAAATAGGTATTACATACAACACGCATTTTAGCGTATAAAGTTGAAATGTTCAATTATATACATTAAATTAAAAATATACAAAATAACCAACATGACTTGATTTAAAGATATTATAAACAAAAGCAGTTACCAGAAATTGAAGAAAAATACGCCAATTCATATAAATCCTAACCTTATTAACGAGATTACTAAGTTATATAAATGTAAAAAAAAAGTAATTAATTATGCTTAAGCATTGTATGTAGACTGCCCAGTATAATTTTCGTTTTTTTAATTGTCGCTGTCACAACGATTACATGGACATTTTATCATTTACAGACCACAATATTCTCGATTTAGGTAGTTTTAATTTACAGTGATATTTTAGGCATGCTCAACCCCCTTCATTTTCACTATTAATAGTAAATTTATTCAAATTCTGATGATTAGAATTTTTAAGTATACCAAAATACCATACTTTCAAATGTCTGATATTATTTGTACTACTTAAACTGTGTTCTGTGGGTCTGTGCCAATATAACTAATATAAGTTTCTATTTTCTATCACAATCATTCTTTACTACTGCAGATTATTTTCTTGATAATATTAATGTATATAAATCAAAATTCCAGTCGTTTCTAGGTTATTAGAATGTTCATAGTAAGGATAATAATCTATAAAAATAATTTCATAAAAATACTTATACAAAATAAAAAGGGTACTACTTATTATACATGCATCATTTTAACAAATAATTTATAATAAAAATTTATAATAAATTATATATCAATACTTAATACTTTGATAATTTCTAACTTTTTTGAATCTCCTTAAGAGAACGTGATACCTGCATGTGTTGTCTCTGTCTTACAAGTGCGTAACTTGGCAAATTTTACGCTCAGCAGAACACATGTAGCTCCGTTAGTTTAAAAATTAGTGTGAATTGACATCTTATAAAATCTAAAGGTAATATTATTATCCAGGCAACCTCATAGGTTTTCTATTATATTTTAATTATAACCCGAGTTACGAGTATTTTAAAATTGTAAATTGTTTATACATCTTAAAATACTTATAAATAAAAAGCCTATGAGGTTGCCTAGATAATAATCTTACCTTAAGATTTTATAAGAGGTCAATTCACTTTAATTTTTAAATTAACGGAGCTACATGTGTTCTGCTGAGTGTACAATTTGCTATGTTACGCGGGTATCTCGTCCTCTTAAGCCATTACCTTAGACATATAATCCAGTCCTCCAAATTATAGAACTCAAAATTAATTGATTTAGATAATACACAATTCTATGAAAAAAATATCTACCTAATAAAAGGGTTATTAAAAATGAAAGTTACCATTGTCACAAGTTCATCCTCAAGTGATACAAAAAATCACAAGAATTCAAAACTATTGCCATCAAGGGAATTCAAAAATTATAAAAATCGAAATTTAAATATATGTAAAATATTACACTATGGGCACTTATTTTTGATCTTTTGTTTTAAATCTAAAAATATCAATCCTAGAAACTTGAACTGATTCATTATTATAAACAATAAAGTATCACAATAAACGTTCACTGAACCCTCCAAATCCAGCAGTCATATCTAAATATGGTATTAAGTTATTATAAAAACAAAAATTAATGAATTACAGATAAGTTTTACTGAAAGTTACACTAGCATATATAACAAACAGTTTATCAATTATAAGTTATCAACGGTTAGAATAATCATTCATTAAATCATAAAAACGTCAGAACCTTGATAATTATTGAGTAGCTACTTACAACAAAGATATACGACTTTTAGTTGTTATATTTGATTATATTATATAATATTTAAATGAAAATCATCTGTTCTGAAAAACAAATTTCACGTATTTTGTATGAGTTATACAAATAATAATTTAAGCATAGAAAACAAACGATTAAATTGCAACATTAAAAACAACATATTAGATGTTTATTATTACTAATCAATAATATAAATAAAAACTGTTGACATTTTTTAAGAATTGTAAATTGCATTGTCCAAAAACAGTTAAAAATTATAGAATAATAAAAAAAATAAGTAACTTACTTAAAAATAAAAAAGTATTCTTTCATAACACTTTTAGAAGTTAAACAAAATTAAATTAAAAAACTTCTTCATAAAATAAATTATTATTACACATATCAATCAAAGTTGAATGACACATTATAAAAAAAAATATATTAAAGGAAGTATAGCAGCTCATCCAGTCCAACGTTGGGCGAACGCCTAAGACTCTGCCCAGTGAGAAATGCCAACTTGTGGGCCAGCTGACATGGAGCAGGAACCCGAACTGTACCCTAGGAGTGATATAACAAAAATATTGAGTACAGGCGATAAAACAAAGGAGTTTCAAAATGGGTATACTAACCGACCAATTGTAGTACATATGAGTCAACTTGAATGTAAGTCTCTGCATTATATCAGGAGGAAGTCTAAGGGTATCTTCAATCACTTGATAATGTGTAGGAGTTACCGTTCCCTGTCTTACATGTTGTGAAACCAAAAAGAAATCATACCTGCAATACAAAATATTTAAGTATTACATTTTTTTTTTTAAATTGTTTTCAATTACTACTACTGCTTCACCGTATGACAAACAAAATGAATATAAAAAATAAATATAAAATACCAATACAATGGAATTAAGTTTGATGATATTTTGATAAAATTTGCATATCAAGGTTAAATAATTTATGTATAGCTTACTTAGTTGGGTCTGTAACAACACTATCAATTACAGTTCCGGGTCGAGGATTTTCAGGGCCTCTATTACTAGGAGCAAAAAATCTTGCACTAATCCGTTTTGTGACAATAACAAACGCTAATGGGACAGAACTTGCACCATAAAATTGTTCACAGGCAGTCTATCAAAAGAGAAAAAATTAACTACAATATACAATTCAAAATAACCTAAACAACCTACCTGCAAAAGTCTAACTTCTGTTTTATGAACATGAGAAATCTGGCCTTCTCCAACTCCATCTCTATAAACAATTATGGAAGTAGGTAATGCACCATTTTTAGTTCTATACTTAGCCAACGCCTCTGAAAAAATAATAAAATCCATATTTTATAACTATTATGCTAGTTTTTCTTTGAGTGTACTTCTAAACATAATTATGAATTATAATTATTTATGCAATTCCAAAATAATAAAGAGGACAACAAAGTTTATTGACAAAAAAATTAAGCCCACAAATTAGAACACCATTAGGTAAACATAATTATTTGATTATTTTACACTTATTCCTTATTCTTTCGTAAAGATGGGTTGATATTTATTCCTCCCTTAACTTGTATAGTTTAGGAGTAGCTGGTTGGAAGTTGCCTACTACAACACTTAAGAGGACATTACCAATGCCTTTGTTATCTCCGTCTTACACACGTACGACATGGAATATGTTCCCTAATTTCAAAAGAGTGCTGTACATTTTGATATTAGCGAATTAACCTGTTAGCAAAGTTTTAGGTAAGAACATTATCTATGCTTAAGAGTCTGCGGATTATTGAATATTTAAATTAATATATATATCACACTATTCAAACAAGTGAACAAACATTTGCTATCATGAGGTGGTAAGTTGGAGTCAACAATGGTGTGGGTTGCATCCTCCTATACAATGTTTCAAGTTAAATTAAATTGAAATAGAAAACAGTAACACTAACACAACCAAACAGGAGCAACACAACATACACAGAACTATTTAATAAATGAAATAATAACAAAATATAGAATGCATGGATCCCGGTAACAATGTGAGTGTTCACACAAAAATACCTATCAACTTGAAAAAACATTAAAAAAAATAAGTGTTAGAAGTCAACAAGCGTATTTGTTGATTGAAGCAGGAACTAGTAAATTATTACAGTCATGACGAGAACTGGAATAGAATTTTAACTTAAAACAATCTTATTGTAAAAAGTGTTTCCAAAAATTAAGAATAATGGTATAAAAATCTAGTTATATAACTTATAGGTTAACTAATATAAGTCAGTTGAAGAATTCACAAATACTTACTGCTTATGCCTGTGGCAAAATGAACAGAAAGTTCCTCTCCGCTTTCATGAGGTTCCACACAACTGTAGTAACTTGTATGAGCATCATTCATAGTTGATACTAAAGCTCCAAATGATATATTTTTGCGCTGACTATCATGACATACATCAAAACCAACTATCATCATCCCCTTGAAAAAAATATTGAGTAATATTAATAAAAATTAATTTGTTTACGCAAAAGAATTTAAGTTACCTTTTTGGGAATGGTAACTAACCAAGGGGCACCACCAAGTTTACAATTTAATTGTATAGCAATTTTTGTACAAACAGACAAATTATTCTTCTGCACATTTTTCAACAGTACGACTTGGGAAGGAACTGAAAATAAATATATTTTATTTTATTTATTCAATATTACCATATATATATCTTAGAAATTTACCTGCTCTATCAATACATAGTTTCCTTTTGATCATACTATAAATATCACCACGTGCTGATGGAATGACACATAAAATCAATGACGGATTTGATTCATTAATTACTTTTTCCAAATCGTTCAAAAACGTATTGGATCTCCCATCAACCATAGGAATTCTAAAAATTATACTCTTAAATAAGTTTCCAAAATATGAATAAAGTAAAAAATATTTACATGGCAGGCTTGGGTAGTAAAAATGTCATTCCTTGTGCTGCTTTGGCAAGAGTTTGAGCAAATGATTCTACTTCTCGACAACAGTCTTTAGGAGCTAGAATGCTCCAATGCTTCACAGTGGCAGAGGTAAACATTGGTAAAGAGCGTAAATGCTTTGTCCAATCAGCTTCTTCACCTCCATTATAACCCTTGGAACGACTTTGAATTGGCTCTGGTTGTAATGTACGACCAGTGAGTTCAACCAACTTATTACTTAATGTCAGATTCCATCTTTTCAATTCGGTAACAGACTAAAATCAAAATTAACTCAACATTAAAAACAAAAAAAAATTATAGAAATGTACATAATTTTGTGTACTATCTCTAATAGCCTGTTAAACTACATAAAATAAAAATAATTTACGTCAGGAGTTGAAAGAAGTCGATTTGCAAAATTTGTTAATCTATCCATGCGTTCTTTAGGATTCACACGGGTATGTATAGCCATATCTTTCATAAGTGTGAAATTATTTCTATAAATTTAAGACAAAATAGTGCACAACGATTAAAAAAAGTTTTAAATCAAAATACTAATTTATATACCTCATGGCATCCGTTATACCAGTCATAATGCATAGCTCTGGAACAAGGTAAACCAACGTATCTTCAACTCCAAATCGTCTAACAGATTTTTTATTTTTTGAAATCAACATAGGTTGTCTGCCACCTCGAATAGTTATGTTCCATTTCTAATACAGTAATAAATATGTTAATTTAGGCCTCTAATTCTAAACATTTATCATTATAGTTATGTACTTCTTTGTAATATTGTATGTAAGTCATTTTGGACCCATCTTTTTTACTAAATTCAGAATTAGGGTCAGAATTTTCATCTATGTCATCAATTCTGTACGTTTCATTATTGTATTTTGTCATAACTGTGGTACCAACGACACTACTTTTGAAGTTAATCTAAATAATATCATGTATCAATTATTTTGTTATTTATTATTTGTAAATTATAATGAAATCATACAAAACTTTAATAAACTTACCATCCAATCTTTGTTACGGTTCCTATCACTAGCACACTGATTTAAAAAGTCCAATACAGTCTCTTGACGCATGACTTTTGTAGATATTTCAGCGCACAGTAAAATGTTATCTTCATACCTGCCAATTGTTGTTTCATAACCTGGCCAAAGTTGTAGCTTATGTTGAGCCATATCAATCTAAAAGAAATTATAAAGAGTCAGAAAAATAACAAATAAAATACTTATAGGATTGCAACATTTACTTTAGCATCAGGATCATAAAAGTTTCTTCCAATCAACGTCAGTTTAAGATGTCGAAGACAATTACGCAAGAGTAAGTTGAAAACTTGAATGTTAGCATAATCACCGGTTTCTATAATATTTGTGAACTTCACTGTTATGATTACAATTTGATCATCCTGTCGACGTGTAGATGTAAGTTCAAAAGTCTAAACCAAAATATATAAATTGATTATATTCAACATTCTTAATGGATTGATAATCACTTAATATTAATTAATGACACTATATTGATCATAGTTATCTAATCTAGCTGTAAACATACTTTAATGTAATGTATTAATTTAATTGTATCGTTATTGATATTTTATAACCAAGAACAATGCCCAAAAATCCTAATTAACAAAAAATATTATATTAATCATTAACAGCTTTATGCTATAACTTACAGGTGGGTCAAATCGGCTTCCAGAAAATAACATTGTTCCGTCAAATAAATATCCTCCCAAACGTTCTCGGTGCTGAGCTAATAGTCCTCTTTTAGTACTAATTCTATCTTCTTCGGGATTGAAATCAACTCGATATTGGTACAAACACCAATTTGTATATGAAGTGATAGGAAAGTAATTTGCCAACAGTTTTACTGGCTGTCCAGAAGTTCCTGTAGTACATAATACAGAATCACAATGTAAATATTGTTAATTTTGTTTTAAATTTTTTTTAACATTTATTTAAAATATGGTCTTTACAATCATCAATTTTACCAATATTATAGTACTTTTTATAGCAATGAAAGTAATTTTATTGAAAAATTTCATTAAGGAAATTTGCAAATTATAAGTATAAACTATAAATTGTATAATTGGTGTTAAGTACATATATATCTATCCTAAGACTGAGATTTCAATGTATTTGCATCTTGTTTATGGAATACTTGACATGATACTTTTCAAGCTATGTGCTTCAGCTTTGTTGGGTACTACCATGTATTTATTTTATTTATTACCATGCATGTCATTTTAAACTATTTTAGTATATTTTAGATGGTTTGAAAAAAGTTAATAAATAAGTCAAATATAAAACTGATTAGTAGTCGAACATGAATCATTTTAATTTCTAAATATTAAAAAGAAGCTACATCTGCATGTGTTGTTTCAGTTTTGCAAATGAACAATATAACAAAAACAATTTTGTGTGGGAAAAAACCAAAAAGGCTACAGTCATAACAAGGGACATGGAATTGTATGTAATTGTAGCTTTTTTCTATTGCTGTTATATGTTGCTCATTGTTACAGAAATTTTAATCATGGAAATAGATTGTTATGGTAGAATTTTTATTTTGCATTTTTAGGAAATTTAATGATTTATTGTAATTTCTCAAAATGTTTAGTGCATTTATATCATTATTTACACTTTTTAATATGTTTATTTGCATTTTTCTTGTTGAAAGTTACACTTAATTTTAAATTTGTAACTCATTCTGTTTTTATTAGCTTGTTGATTATTAACGTTTATTATATTTATGATTTATTTATGTGCTCTATGATTATTTAATAAGTATTAGACAGATACTAGCTAGGTACGCAAATGTAGGTTATCGCACTGGTCATGTTTGGCAATATTTTGTATCTTCATTCCTTATGAGTTAGAAATCATTGTTAATTCGATAGTGTTGTATGTATAGACTCTAGACTATTTTCAAAAACGTAAAGAAGAATTTAATATCAGCTATTCGACATAAATACGCGAAAAGCAACAAAAACATAATTTATTTTGAGTTACAGCATTGCTTATGCTGGGAAACCACAAACAATTGTTTAATGTTCAATTAATCCATTCCATGTATTACTGAAATCATTTGTTTCATGATTGGAGATAAGTCTGCTTAGACAATTGCAGCCGGTATAAAAAGTACTTATAAACAATAAGATCATTTTTGCATATAAATGATATGAAAAAAATAAATATGATGTATCACAGATTAAGTTCTTAATTATATTGTATATTGATTTGGAGACTTAACTATCAGTACATAATAATGTTTCATTACCCGCAAAACAGCTTTTTGCTATGTTGTACATTTATAAGTCATATGCAGGTATAGTGTTCTCTTAAAAGAATTTCTTTTTGTTCAGAGTTATACATTTTATAGATGATGATTTAAATATTGTAAATATTGCTAAATATTTTTATTTGTTTTATACATAAATATGAAGTTTTAACTCAATTACATGTTAAAACAAACACATATACTATTTTTGCACATTTTTAATATACTTATATCAGCATATCATTTTTATTTTCAAAGAATAAAAATATAGAGAATTTATTATTTTCAAATATTAGGGCATTGAAATTAGAATCAGATCATTAGATATAATTTAAAATTTATGATTTTACAGTCCTTGGTGGGAATATTTTAAAGTTAAGTACATTTTAACTGGATTCTAGAGTCAGATAGTATTTTTAAATTAATTTGTATCAATATATAAGAAGTTTATTATGCAATGAATAAATTTGATATATATTACGAAGGCTGGCCAGAAAATAAGGTTACACAAGTGCATCATCGAGATTACCATCTTTTCGATAAGTTTTTATGCGGATAGCGATTTTCGTATGTCTAGATCCAAGAGGTTGTTTAAATATGGAGTTAAAGGTTAGAGCAACGAGAGTATAGAAAAGCTGATGCCTTGACTTCAAAAATGTGGTAACAATTTTTTGGGGAAGTTATGACATATTTTGGAATTTTATATTCTGTAAATTTAATTAAAAAACATGCAATGTTTGATTTTTACCAAATGTTGTAACCCTACCTTCTGGACTAGGCAAGTGAAACTTAAAATATTAACTAGGCCAAATATGTTGAATAGTTTACTCTATATTTTATACAAATTCTTAATTTTATTCATCCTACAATACTTCTATAAAATAAAAGATTGAATTACAGTTTATAATACAGAAAAGTAATATTATGTGTAATTCGCACTAAAATAGTTAACACAAAAGGAAAATTGCATAACTCTTTTTTATTAATTTTTTTTTAATTGATTGTTCTACATGTAATTGCTATCCACTAGCCATACAAAAATGAGCCAGGGGCAGTGTATGTTTGACATGCCTGTTCTAGATGATTCTAGTATAAATGTATAATATATTTTCTAGATATTTAGATATTACAAAAAATAAAATAAAAACTGTACTTAAATATTAAGCATTACCTCGTTTTCCAATATCGCCTAATGAAGATTGAGGTCTTGGTGTCCTAAAATGTTCAAGATCAATCTGCCTTCGCCCTCGTACTGCTCCGCGCCCTAACGGAACTAGTCCATCTCCTTAAATTTAAAAGACAAGAGTTGGTTATGTCATTGAGATTTTAATAATTTTATCTTTTCACTGCTAAGCTTCTTTTCATAAAATAACATAAATTTTATTTTCATTTTTTAAATGATAAATAACTAAAAATTAATAATTTCATTTAACCATATTATGTGTAAGTTAAAAAAAAAATGTATTGGCTTGAATTTTAAAATATGTACTTTCAAGGTACCTAAGTAGAACCAGCATGGCACCAGGTACTATAATTAGAAGTGGTGTCATTTCAGCAATCACTAGAAAAAATTCTTGAAAAAGTTCAATTTTTTTTTACTATTAAATTTGTTATTTTTTCATCGTTTTTATTTGAGGGACAAGGGTATGTAATATTATGTTTTCAGCTAATATGCCTATAGCAGTGCAAGGGGTTATAACAGACTACTTAAAAAAATGAAATTACCTGCACCCAAATTTTTAAGACCTTCCGTAACTTGTTGTACCTTGAAAAAGAATTGCATAAAAATGTATGTAAATAATATGGAATTTCAAAAAGATTCTTACTCCTGCCATAGGGTCTTGTTGTTTAAGGGCAATATTATCACCAGACATTCCAGGCCTTGATATATTATCACCAGACATTCCAGGCCTTGATATATTATCACCAGATATCCCAGGTCTTGGTTTATTATCACCAGGCATCCGAGGTCTTGGACCTAGTGGTCTAGGAGCTCTTTGCTGGGATGCGCCAGTAGGTCGTGGTGGCATTGGACGAGGTGGACGTGGCATTGTACTCGTAACTGGTGGCTGTGAAGAAGGTATTGGCTGTGAAGGAGGTATTGGCTGTGAAGGAGGTATTGGCTGTGAAGGAGGTATTGGCTGTGACATGGATGGCCGAGGTCCTCTTATTCCTTGAGGAGGTAAATTTGATAAACCTGGTACACCTGGTTGATTGGTTGGAAATTGAGGACGTCCACGGGCTTTTCCCCTTGAAGGTCTTATGGGTTCCATTTGGAAAATCTATACTAAAAGAATAATGTTTTAATTCTATATTATGCTGTAATAAGAATAAAATACAAAACATGCAAATATCAAATCGATAGGTGTTTGTGGAAAAAATAAATTTCTACTACACCATAAAGGCATAAAATGTTGTTTAACTGAGCTTTATCAATGATAAGCAATAAACGTTGATGCATTTCTACACTGTATACATCAATTTGTATTTTATATTTAAATTTAGTATTTTCAAGGTCAAATATTTGTGTTTTTTTTTTTTACTATTGAAATAAATTATTTGGAGGCTAAGACTAGTTAAAAAAAATATATCAATCTTACAAGGTAAGTGTTGTACGCGGTCTACTCAAATTAACGAGTTTAAAATGTCGGAAAAGAAAATAGAGGATGGAGAATGTAAGTACCTAATGTGGAAGATGATTTCAACATGAATTATGGAAAAAAAAGTTAACAGGTACCTAAACGTATCAAAAATATTATGTTAGTATTACTAAAGCAAGATTTTAAAAAATAGGCAACATTATACAGAGATGTTTAAGTTAAAACCAAAATTGTTAAGAATGGCTTGCTTATAAGATATCAAATATGAAAAATTTAAGACTATGAACCATTTCAAAAATGTTGTGAATCTATTGTATGATAAACAAATTCAGGGAATAAAAAGTTAATAGTCACATCCTCAAAAGTTACAGATTGTAATAAAAATCCACGGAACTTCCCATGATTTACTGTCTAAATTAATGTTATTGGCATATGAATGTGTAGCCGATGAAACGTTTGAATGTTTTTTAAGATAAGTTAAGATTATTTGACTGATAAAACAATATGTTTAGAATAATTAATAATTGAACACTGAGTCAAGACACTCAACTATGGTCAGTAAGATAAGGTATGCTGACCGACAGTGAACGGTAACAGCTGATGAATATAAACTAACCACTTACATACGGGAATCAACAGAACACCAGTTATATATTATTTTGGCATAGGGTAAATAAGTTATTTAATTTTGTATTATAAACTTGAAACCAAAAAAATATCACCTAAACATAAATAGGGAATCCATCTTTTTATTATATTTCAAGCTTTTTGTCAGAGAAAAACAATTTTGAGCAACTTTGTAATATGACCATTTGCCATAGGTGTTTTCAATAATATTATAATAAATCATAATCATTGTAAGATGAGAAGTATATAAGGTACCTACTATTTTGCTAACACCATATTCAGTGTCGGGGTTCAGAATTTATTTGTTTTTAATAATTTCACTTCTTATTATTGACAAAATTTAAATAAGCATCTTACCCACAGTGGAGTAGTTGAATATTTAACACATGAGGGCTTAGTGCCTAAACATAATGGGGCCCAATGATAAAAATTGAAAAATATGTAGAAAGGAAAAAAATAAAACCATTTTGTTATAATAATTATTACCTAACGAGATTGAAAAATTTCAATGTGGAAAATTGGTTATCGAAATTAAAAAAGTTTGGTTGCGATTGATTAACGCCAATAAACACAAAGGGCGGCATGCAGAGGAGCCAGCATTAGTGGCCTATAATGTCTCGCGTCTCAATTATTTGTGTCTATTTTTGCCAAGTTAGATATAACAACTGTCAAGAAAGAGTTTTCTACATTTATCGGCATTATAATTTTTAACTATACCAGTGACAACTGCTTCAGCGGAGCAATTATTTTTGAAGGTTAAACTTATGAAAAATATTTATCTAACTCAATTGAAAAAAATGGACTTTCAGTTGAGTTTTACTAAATATTGAGAGACAAGAAACATTATAAAATACATATATATATACAAATACAAATATTAACATGAAAAATATAATGAACAATTATAACAAAAAAAGGAAGACAATTGTTTGAAATCAGTACATAATACATAATATTAGGTGATTAGTTATTACTGTTTTATTTTTGTTAATGTTTCTGTAGTTCACTATTAATGTGTAGTGTGTTCATTTTTATTTTTTATTTGATAATTAGGTATATATATATTTTAATTAAATAAAATAAGCCTTAAGGTACCTAATTAAATTTAATTATTTGAACGTAAATGCATAGGTGTATATTTTAATTAGATAAACCTTATTTGAAAATTTGAAATTCATAATTATTTTTTAAAACATGGAACAATTATTTTGCAATAGAATTTTTACAAAAAAGGTTAGTTCATAAAATAAAAATGATTTAGTAATATTAAGTAAATAAGTACTAATTGAACAAATATTATTAAAATATTTCTATTTTGAAGACGAGGGCATTTTATTTACACATGGGTCAAAATTAGTGTAGTTGCGGCACTGCATATTATTAGTATTAGTCTTAATGGTATTTGAAGACAATTTTTCTACATATTTAATATAACCAAGTTTATAATAGATAAATATAACAAAAGAGTTAACTATTTAGATATGCAATCAGTTTTCTCTAATGGTATACCAATTTGAGGAAGAACTCGACTGGTTTTATTTGTAGGCTGAATGTTACCATAAATGGTATTATTAAATATTTATATTATATTCCTTAGCAAACTTGCCATATTTTAATTAATGATAAACTTAGTGTAAAAAATATTAAGATTATTTATAACCTTGCCGTTCTAGTAAATGTATGTCAGCATAAAGGTTCTATTAGCACATCATGAATATATTCCTTCAGCACGGTAAGCAATGGTACTAAATAAAATCCTAAGTTCCTAATCAGTCTTATAATTAACGGGGCACTCCCTGCATTCTTAGCGTCATCGTCAAAAATAATACCAGATTCTATAAGTAGCATTAACATTTCTTATAAGTTTTTTACCAACTAAGTATTTCCTTTAAGTTAAGATACAGTCCAATGGCGGCTAGTCAAAGTCCACCCAAAAAAAATATGTACCTACTATCTACTCATTTCCACTAAAGGTACATTCAAACAGAAAGTGGGCCGCCCACGCGGTCTCTGGCAAGTAGTACGACGGAGGACTGCGTATCCGACTGATACGTCGAGCCCGCTGTTTGACCGCGTTTTAAAAAAAATTATTGAAACAATCGGTAAAACCATTAAGATACAGTTCCTAAAAGTGGAAAAAATACATAATTCGAATACACGGTCAGCGCACGAAGCGTGCGGCACACACGGAATAATTTGGAGAAAAAATGGAAAACCACGTTTTTCTCCAACCTCGACGCCCGTCGAAAGTTGAACGGGGTAAGAATATGACAATATGACATTAATGCTATTACATAAATAAGACAATCATACCTGAGTATTGCGTGTAAGATCTAATGAAAACAACGTTTGCGCAAAATGCAAACGCAAAATTCGCAGACACGTGGAACGGACGTGAGCGACGGTTAATCGAAAATTCGAAAGTGCCCTCCGGACGGACACGAGTAAACGGAGCGACCTGCGACTAAGCGGTGTCGGTGTGGGCTGGTCGGGACACCGAGACGAGGGTGCGCATGCGTCGTACGGAACTCCGAGTCGGAAGCTCGCGGCAGGCAGTGGTGGCAACTGCCGAGCGGAACCGGCAAACTTGTGTTGAAAAGTATTACGTGTGTGTGCAAACTGTCGTAAGCCAAAAGCGTACGGAAAGAACAACAGGAGCGGTAAAAGTGGCGGAACGGCGGAAGAACTGATGCACGCGAACGAGCCAGATGACCGTCTACACGAGCGCGCACGCGCGTTGTACGACAGAGCAAGACGGTACTGATCGGAACGCGTGAGCGCAAACGCGACGCTCCACTCGGTCTACTCCAAAGTCCAAAAACCCCGAACCCACCGTCGCGCGAGCATACCGAGCCGCCGGGACGTACAACTTACGCACCAGGACAAGCGGCGGTGCTCCGCTGCGATTGGTCGCCGTCAGTCGGCAACCGCCGCCGCCGCCGTGGTGATTCGCGACTTCCGACACGTCAACGCTCTGAGGCGGTAACGTTTCACCGGGGGGATGCTCGGCGGCGACCAGTTTTCGTCGGTCGAGTGGGATTTTCTTATTCGGAATCGAGCGTAGAGATATATAGTAACAACGTCGCATTTATAAATACCAGAATTTATAAATAATCAACGACAATAATATTTTAATGACAATATTATGATAAATATGGGTTAGCAACTGACGTTATCTGTACTTTTGCGATCATATCATAACAAATTAATGAAATAATGTTATATCCGTAATATCATGCGAATGAGTATCTAATGGTCGTGTTGTTTTGAGCGTACTCGGGTCGCGGGGATCAGCAAATTATTTAATGAATTATTTAATTTTTACGTCGGTACTCTGTAATATTACTCGATGGTTCTGCTGGTTTATTGTATTGTTATTATAGTCGACGTGATATTCCGTTCATGTATCGGGCGTATCCCCTTGATAGCTAATATTCTATTTTCAATTTTGGTTTATCGTTGAAAATCTTGAATAAACACTTGCATAATGTGACATAAACAAGTATCTCAAATCGTGACACGTACGCGTCATGATTGCATGATACATCGGAAATTAAAATATTTGAATATGAAAAAATCATATAAATGTAGTAAAATTTATAACATACATTTTCGTACATGATTGTATGTATCATAGTGTCATGAAACAAATTTTGTATCGAATCAGTAGATTTTGAATAAAATAGCGTCCTAAGAAATATACAAATGCCTGAAGTTCCAAACCCTGGTTATAAAAAACACATCGACATCAGTCGATGAGTTAACAAAAACCTAATCGACTCTTTTTAAAACCAATAATTTTTGTAATACTGGCCCTTAGATCGTAGCGTAAAATAGAAGGGTTGCGGAATATTTGCTGTATAGAGCAGTGATGTCCAACTTTTTTTCTTCGACGAGCCAAATTAATAAAATATTGCCTTTGTGAGAATCACTCAGCCTATAGTCTTAGCAGAGACACCAAATCGTACACAAAGAACTTACTTCTGGAAGTAGAAGATAATATTTTGTGTATCGTAGAGTTCTGAGTTTTTATTTGTTTGATATCATTAATAAGAAAAAAGTTTTAATACATTCATAAATCGGACATTTTTACGTTTTCTAAACTTCAATAATTTTTGTTATATTGGTCTTATCTGACAAATAAAAAAGCTACGACATACTTAAAAATTATTCTCTTCTGTATTCATGGTGAAAATGTGATTTCTTAGTTGTTACTGTAGCCTTCTCGGTTCTTTCCCGCGAGAACAGTAGGTATTTGTTATGTTGTACAATATTTTAGACAAATATTATTGAATCAAAAGAAACATTAATTTTTCGTCTGGAGACCTGTTACATATTATATAATAATTAATTATCATACATCTCAATATGTATACTTATACAAATAGAATAGACATTTATTATTGCCATATAAACTATTTCTGTGTAGATATTAAATATTGTTTATTATTAGTAGTAAATACTAAATACTAAATTGTCGCTGTGTTATGACCAGTGGCCCATGGATGTGTTTGCGTGTGTAGGTATCTATTATTGTACCAGCATTAATATCCGAAATAATAAAAATATTATTTTAATTTATTATTAAATTCCTTATCTCTTGTTCATTATAATATATTAATTTCTACAGTGAATAATATACGTGATTGTCCGGTATGGTATTGACTCTGATAATATTATATCGTAATAAACTAACAACCAATAAATAATAATACTGCAATAGTAATCTAAAAGGAAAGTACATTTTATGATTTAATTTGTTTAACAGTGTTAAAATCTTAATGCACTTGGTTTATACTGCCCCTGTACATTTTGTAATGATAAAATAGACAACATATTGTATCTATGTAAATACATTTATAAATATTGTATTATAAACAATTAATAGTATTCTAAAATACAAATACTTATTAGTTATTACTTAATACTTATGAGTTATGAGTTATGAGTAAAACTGCAAATGAGTTTCAGTATTTGAGTATTGCTATTGCTATTCAAATAATGTTTTCCTAATTTCAATGTTATCTCATTAGTACTAGGTTAGTATTATAATTATAAAGATTGTATTTCAAATATTTTAGTATGCCTCATTAATTTAATGTTTAAAGTAATGTTATATTCTTTGATATAAATAAATTCCACTAATTTGTCGTGTTCATTTAAAATATTTATGATATGATTCGATTTATTTTTTTAGTTTATTAAAAACTAAAAGTTAAATCTATAATATTTCTAATACTAGAATTAGAAATAATATTTATTATTTTATGATAATTATTACACTCTTTTAGAACGGACTGGTACTAATTACAATTACTATAGCAGTAGTATAGTACTTATGAGTTGTAGCTTGTAGCATAATATTTTTTTTTCTAATATTCTAACACCTATATAATTGTAGTTTCAAATTTTGATTGACGAGTGTCGATTTTATTTTTTCATTCAAAATAATTCCATTGCCATATCCAAAATGCAATATTTTTCAGACTTTTAATACATATTACATATTGAAAACATAACTTTTTATCAAGAGCAATATACACTAATAAACTAAATACTATTATATATTTGTTTATACAAAAAAAAATATTATACTAATTACTAACACTAGATTTATTAATTTTATTTTTAAGAGTTCGAGTAAATATAATACATATAGTGGTCATGGCCAGAAAAAACAACTCAAAATTCATTCTTCTTTTCAAAAGTTCTCCCGTATACATTATTACCTCATCTATATTCCAATAAATATAAATATATATATATAATTGTACCTTCCCATATGAAAATTGATTGTACTCCACTGACTGTGCATATCAGTGGATCAGTGGCGTGTAACATAGGGTGGGTGGGTGAGTATTAATAGAAGAAAAATAGTACATTTTATAGGTCAGTATAACAGTTTAATGAGGGGTAGGTCACATAAAATTATCTGAGCAACACCTATTTTTTATGGTACACGCTACTGAGTGGAGTAGTGGAGTGCTCATTTTTTTTGTAAGGGGAGGAATATTCATTTTTGACTTAATTATAGAGTAAATAACTCTTATGAGTGTACAAGTACAAAAATATGGAATCGTATTAAAATTACACAAGTAAAAGCCAGAGAGAATTATGATTGATTGGTGAATGAACGCAAACGAAAATCGAGAACACAATTTATAACAAGTTCAAATTGCCGTGCTGTAACGAATTGCTGCCCGGGTAGACATCGGCAACCGGCGCGGCGCTCTGCTTTATGATTATTTTTAAAAATATACAAGCATTCCAGTATTCGACTATGCTATTTCAATATATCATAGTATAAACACAGGCTATAATATAGTCTGTGGTATAAACATAATATATATCACTGTAGAACCTATACATATATTTGCTTATAATTTATAAATAATATTTTAATTTATAACTTCTAGATTTAATTTAGTATGATTAATGGGGCGATATAAATAATAGGCAATATAATGTTATAAAAACTAATGGTAATAAAATCAGCTCCGTCTCTACATTCCGGGAAAAATTGAAATAACAGGTGTATTTTTAGACCAAACGTCCAAACCTATTGGCGGCATTGAATATGTTAAAAAAAATACAATTTATACTGAATGAGTTATGCAGAATGCGGAGAGGCCCGGAGACAATAAACACGACGCGCTTGTATTCTTATCGAATCGATAAGAATAAAGGAGCACGATCTAATCTACTCCCGGAATCTTAAATTTTAAATCTACATTTTTTGCATGTAGATTATAAATCATTACAAAAAAATCCAAAGTGAAGCATATGACACCCTGATCCCCCCGTGAGCATGCCACTGATGCATATAGAAATAGCCTACTTCTTTATGAACTGATTAATCACAATTTTACTATATCAGTTCATAGATGGGACTTTTTCCATTGAGATTATCCATTTTTACCAAATCTCCAGTGTCTAGTAAAAAAATTACATTCGGTACACAATGATAGATTCGTATTTCCATTCAAAATTGAAAATATAATTTATCTTTGTCATGAATCATGATTCACAATATTGTTGGTTGTCAAAATTATTAAAAAGGAATCTTGTTGATAGAAACATTGAATAATATTTTTTTTAATAATAACTTGGTTTATTTTAAACCGCATATCTTATAAAAATTAGTTCGTTTTTGTTATAACATGTTTATGATAATTACAAATGAATAAATGCACTATTGTCTATTTCTAAAAAGTAGACATGATTTTATAATATATATATACGGACATAATTACTGTTATGTGTGCTGGCCCCTTTATTACCCTTGAATAATGCATTTATTAAATTATTTTCAAATAAATTCAAGAGCCATGATATAATAAAATACATAGATTTAATTATAATTTACTTAGGTTATACCATCTAATTATTTTTAATGAGAATCACCTTTTCTACTGTAAATTGTAAACAGCAAATGTTTTTTTATTGAAAATGCTATGAATTTAAATATCTAAATAGAAATTTAAGCAAATACCTATTTCTCGAGTTATGTAACATTATTTAATAAATACCAATAATAAATTAATATTTTTATAAAACTATAATATTCAATTTAATACATTTAATACATTGTGTTTTATAGTTGCTGAATTACAAAAAAAATGGAAATCGTTTAAAGACAGCTTCCGTAAAAAATGTGTAACCAAGTCTGGCCAAGCTACAAACAAAG